AGTTAGCAGTGCCAATTGCCTCTAAGCTAGAAACGCCAGGGCACAACCAATGCCAAAAATGCACTCTGTGCATGACTTCCCTACATACAGGACTAGTAACATGCAATAATTAAGCATTACTTCTAATACTTTAGCTTGATAATGATGACAGTAAAAAAAAAAGAAAATAGGATTTTTATTATAGAAAGCCCAGTATTATAATATTCAAAGAGTTATAGAGAAATAATCTGCAAATGAGTTTGGCACAAAGTCTTGGATTGATGTACTTCAATTGCACAAGTCAATTCATAGTGGACAACAACCCACTGCCCCCTCTTTCACATATTTTAAAACAAAAAGCTGAGACATTAATTCCTACAAGCATTCTTTTCAGTGTAATTACAAGTTAACTAAGTTTATGTTCTTAACTTTATTCTATGCTGTCAGAAAATCACGGCCTGGATTACACAGCAATTATCAACACAATATATATATATTCCAAAATCAGAGGTAATAACACTTGTATCATAGTGCATCTAATTTGTTTTTGTCCCTCCTCATCACCAGTCTCATAAGGAAATGAGGCAGATGAAAATTCTTCTAAGAAAAAAGTTACCCCCTTCAACAATCTGGTATGAACACACAGGTTGAAAATTCAAGATTAGAACGCCTGAAATATTAACAGTGGCAGGCAGACGTTATGCTGGATAGCATTACACCTTATTTTCTCTCCTCCCTTATCTGCTGGATTTCGAAACCAGCATTAGAAAACTGAACACATTCTGCTCGAGTTGGCATGATCCTGGAAGACAAACACAACCTGACAAATAGGAAACAGCATGGGGCTTGGGGTATTATCCAAAGGTTGCATTTGTGCTGATGCAGTGAAAATGAGTTTAAGTCACAGCAGTTTCTCCTGTGTGAGGGTATCGGCATGGGGTTCTGGTTACTCCACTGGCACCAGCCACCCACGACAGCTCCCAGCCAGCCTGGACAGGGGACCCTCTGCAGTCACTGGGTGTCCCCATGGACACCTCATTTTGGTCTAATTCAGCAGCAGCCAGAGATCAATCTCACACTTCTACCTGCCACCCAACTTGATTTAAAACAGAGCTTGAGCTACTCCACCAGGGTAAGAAAGTCTCACAGCACCGGTATCACAGCTCTTCTGCGTCTCCCTCCTGACCCAGCTGCCCCAAGCAGGGCTGGTGACCAGGACAAAGCAGACTGTCACACTGCCAACACAGGTTCACCCCTTCCAGCAGCAGCCACCTCCCTAAGCGCTCCTCTGTGGCACTAATTGGACGAGCACAGGTCTTGCTTTCAGAAATATCCTCCCCTTAACAGAAAGGATCAAACACACTACAAGAAACCTTAGCTAAACCAAATGTCATGCACCCATTTAATTTTCACCTTTGTTAAATAATGTAATTGTCCCGGAAACGGTTCTTCAGCAATCCTGAGAGCCAGCACTAGCATACAAGCTGTCCTCCAAAGAGAAGTGAAGCACAGTGGGTATGCTAGGGCAGCATGCAGCGGCAGTAAATAACCCTGAGCTTGCTTTGTTCCTTCATAAAATAAATGATTAATAGCTCAGTATAGACAGTCTGCTATTCAAGGCTTGCTGAAAAACTTTTGATCGGTTTGAGTCATTAACCTTTAAAACCGTCTCTAAACAAGGCTTAAAATCTGGACAATTTTAAAATGAACACTTCAATTTTATCCAGTAAACGTAATTTTTGACAAACTGAGCTAAGCATTGAGACACTCTACTCCTCCTTAGAGGCACTCAGCATCTCATGGTCAGGTGTCAAGGAAGAAGTAACAAGGGAAAATAAAGTTGATATAGACAAACAAACCCACGTTCATCTTAAAATTCAAAACCGATCAGGGCTGGGGGGGGAGAAAATGGCACTCCTTTGTGATTCTTAAGCATTTGGCTGATTCGCAGGTGGCTTCCCAACTGTCTCTTTCTTTTGGTTTTAATGCTAATAAAAAAGGAACACAAACAGGGGACTCAATTCCCCCACACAATGCACTGAGGGAGGGCAGAGAGTGTAACTTATGTATCCGAGAAGTCTGACTCAGACAAATTACTTCTAGTTCACTTCCTTACTACACGCCTGCATTGTTCAAACACCTTGGTAGCATAAGGGGTTCATCCCCAGCTATCTGGTCACAGAAACAGCAATGCAGACTAATGCTGTTGAAGAACTGTTCCAATTACTTCCCAGGGGAAAGAAGTGACTTGCAGCTTAACGTCCTGCCCCAACGCAGCAGGAAAACCAACCGCCTGCAAACACCCTGCTAATGGCTGCTGCTATACGGGTCCTGCTCCCGGGATGAGCTGCAGTTTGTCTTCCAGAGATGGCAGCTGGTTCCTGGATCAGAAGTACAGATGGTTGGAGGCTCTGGCACAATTTGCTTTGAACGTGAGTTTGGTGATAGATTCCCGAGAAAAAAGGGGCATTTTGAACCAAGGACTGATGGCCACTGCTGCCAGGTTGATACTAGAAACTTGCTATTTGCTTGGTTTTGCCATCTAGAGATGACTGTAGGATCAAAAGGACAGGACAAGTCACTTGTCCTTCATGTGACCAGAGAAGTGCTTCACAAGCAGCCATGTGGTTGCAGCGGTAGAACTCCTAGCGGAAGAAAATTATTTTGCCTCTAAGGGAATCACAAGCCTTTCTCAGAGAAAGGAATGCCAACTAGAAAATAAAAAGGTTAAAAACTTCTTACAGACACACAGCTCATAACCAGCCTGTTCCATTGTTTGCTACAATAATTGTATATGGTCAAGGATTTGTCAGTCTAATAATGTTACAGAGAAATTCTCAAGACGTAGCTGTCAGATTGTCCCATCAAAGCCTGTAGGAGTTCAGCAATACTATCTGAATACTACACATCCTTATTTGGAACAATATTGAGGCTTCTGACAGAAAAATAGAGTGCTGCACTCCTGATGCTTCAGATATGCAGCAGGGGTACAAACGAAGATAAAATGTTCATAAAGAAACCAGACCTCACCTGTAGCTTCAGTATTTTTTCTGTACTTGAATCTTTAAGCTTGTCTACACCAAACAAAACATTTAACTACAAAGAAACAAACCCAATTCCTAACTTTTATAGTTTTCCTGGGGTCTGATTAAATGCCGATTGGTGTTCAAATTTAAGTATTTGGTACAGACTGTAACAGCAGGTGGTTAAAAGTACCACAAACGGTTATTATGGCAAAGCAGTATCTTGTCTTTTGGGCACCAAACATGAGTATGTTATGGATTTGCATGGCAAGAGCACAGAAAAGCTTCCACCTCTACAATGCAAGATCTCACAGGGAACATAGTTGGACTCAGCCTTAGATTCAGTTCAAGAGCCAGAAGACTCTATTCCTACTCCACCCGAGCCACTCAGGCTTGATTAACGCAATTCAGTCCCAAACATCGCAGCACCAGACTATGGAGAGGGGAACATTTCACACTGTCTCTTGCTGACACAGAGACTGGAAAAATAAAGAGCAAAGCAGCACTCATAATATGTGTAATAGTAATAAAAAGAGCTTAGCAGGACAAGGAAAAGTGACTTAAGAAGAAATTGAGAATTTTTTTCTACTCAGAAACTACCTGAACTTAAATGTACTGTTTCAGTCATATCCTATTGAATACGACAGATTGCTAGAGCCTGGAGTGTAAAGAGACTGCAAAAGACAATGAAGAACAGCATCAGTGGGATTAAGACATGACATGGTCAGGTCAGGATGGAAAAGCAGATGGGTACAGAGAGAGCAAACAAAATAGTCCAAACTGAGCCAAAAGGGAACAGTTAGCACAGGGAACTTTACTCTCTTGCAAGTATCACCACATAAAACCACTGCATCAGGGGTTACTTTGTACATCAAGGGAATGGTGTAGTGTTACATAGCAGTGCAAAGTGCTTTGCACTACTAACAGTTTGAATTTATTAATTTTAGGAACAAAATCTGTTTTTCTCAGCTGTCTAGTCAATCTTCTGTTCTATTAAAGCCCAGTGCGTGCTGCAGTTCTCCTTGGGCTCAGCAAGTGTATTTTTAAGAGGAAGATTCACTCATATATTCACCTGTGGCCTCAACCTGGCTCAGCAAGCCTGCACAAACTGCAGGTACATTCAAGTTTCACTACAGCTAATACATGCCACTGTTGTGGAGGGTAGATTCAGGACTTGAGAGAAACTCATGTGCTTACCTTCCACCAAAATAAAAGTGCTTGTTAAAAGTGTTGCTCGACTCTACATATCAAGTACCCAGTGTGATATCTGAAGGCGTGCAATGCATCTCAGTCTGTTTTCAAAGGAGTTTAAGTTGTGTAACTGTTTTTGGTATTTAGTTCAAGCAGCTTTTAAAAACTTTACATATAAGTTTAAAATAATTACAGGGTATTAATTAGCGCACTCTGCAGAGGGACAGATTCAGTTCAAGTGCATGAAAGAAACTGAGCAAAACCAGTCCTCCCAAACCAGATTTTCCAGGTTTGTACTAGACAACCTTAATTTTAGTCTCAAACATCTTATTGTCTCCCTGAGGGAAATCTGCAGAGAAACTCTCTGAAGGAGCACACAGCTGTCCTTGTAACAGATTAAACAAGATTTCCATCCATCCACAGAAATCAGGAAGCTACGTCCCTGCTTTCAGACCTGAGCAGGTCCCCTGCTCCCATCATACTACGGTGAGCACAGAAAAACGCTTCTGTCTTGCAAGCACACAGATGATTCCTAGAAGAGTTTTTCATGATTAGACATACTCTCCAATTACTGTCAGGCTCTCATTTTATAAGTATGTTTAGTTTCTTAACAACCAAAAAAACTCAGAGCCAGATCATAGGGAAAATAATGCCTCTCAAAAAAGACTGCAACAAGATTCTGTGGAGTATTTACTTGCTCTAAACAGAGCCAAGAGAAGACTAATCAGACATTTTGACCAGGACACAAGAGGCAACTGCCTGACAGATGTTAATTTAAAAAAAAAAAAAAAAAAAAAAAAAAAACAAAGGTGTTTTACAATGAACCACCTACTTGCTGTCTGTCATTTTGTTATAAATGAGAAAGTCAGAAATGTTATGCCATACATCACTATCTTCATACAGGTAGGTCATGGAGGACTGCAGAGAAGGCTGCAGAGTTTGCCGGTGGTATTCAAAGAGCCAGAGAACTGTCCCCCACAGCAGAGCAGCGATGAATGGAAAGGGATCCCGCTTTGGCTGTGGGACATAGCCCTTCTCCACTGCCAGCCGAGACAAGCCAAACAGCACACGAGACAGCAGGTACATGATGATCTGCATGAAGAGAAAACCCAAAGGGCATTAGGTAAATAGCCTGACCAGATATACTAGCTCGGTTAAGTGATTTTGAAGCAATAAGCTAGGCAAGAGGAGTGGAAACAATTTACCCAACTTAAAATCAAACAGGTTGTAGGTTCACATATCAAGCAGTCTTTATAACTGGAGATGTTTGTGTCTTCCCTATGTCCTCAAAGTCCTGTGTTGCTGCTGGCGCTTTAATTTAGTAATCAACAAGTTACACTTCATGCAACACATCTCTGCAGTTGCACAACTTTTGTTGTTGCCCAGTTAACACCACCTCAGATGATGCTGCTACTATAAAGTCAGGGAGCCGCCCTGCTAGCCTGCCAGGCAGATACAAACTGGGTAGTCTGGACACAGCCTAAAACCAGACTGAAGGGGTGCTCTTACAGGGCATTGCATAAGTAGAACACTTTTGATTTAATCTGCATCTATGTGTTTTACTGACTAATCTGTGACTGTGTGTTAACAACCAGGTTTATATCAAATGGCCCCTGAGCAGCTTTTGTCAGTTTAACAAGTTAAGTGTAGCTCAGTAACTCATTATGCTCTACACTTACAATATTCAAACTAAAGGGTTTAACCCTGCAAGTGGTCAGACCAGGAGGGCATGCAGACAGTTACCACAGCTCAGATCACAGGTGGGGTAGCTCAAAGCTTTGGATTGCATGACTGCTGGCCTTCCCATGTAGACAAGTGCAGCTCTGGAGGTAAACCTGGGCTTTTAGTACTCAAACTGCACACACCATTAACAGAGGCACACAACCACCTCTAGGATTTGAGTGCAGAACAGCCAAAACAAGAACTTGTGTGAAGAGGACTATAATGATATAGTAATGCTACATGGTAAGGAACCACAGAAACATGCCAGGTCATACCAACCACTTCTTGGCACACCATCACTCATCTGTTGTTGTTTGTGGGTTGGTTTTTTTTTTGGTCTTTTTTTTTTTGTCAAGGAAACTTTCAATGAACGCATTTACCTGGTTGTTGATGGGATTGTTCTCACTGAACACTAGCCAACCTCCAATGCAGGCTGCAAAGAAAGAATGAAATGGAATTTTTTTCCCCTGTAGTTGAGACTGCAATGCCATCAGCCCCTTGTAGGTGAACACAAAATACGCCAAGTTCCGGGAATGAGTGTACGTAGCCTGAGCAATCGATTTCAATTTCTCTCTTAAACTGAAGAAAAGAAACAGGCAATTAGGAGAGCAAAAAGGCAGGACCACTGCAGTTACTCAGCCTGGACACTACATCCCTCTGGCCTGCCCATTTAGACTGACAGCTTGGGCACCCCACAGAACATCTTGAGAGATGCAAGAACATTATCACCTCTGGCTCACCCATCAGAACACAGCTCTGCTCAGACTGTGGACTGTGCTTCTGTTGAATTCTATGAATGGTCAAGCAGTCAAAATTTTTTGCCTAAGTGCAAACCTCTGGTATAAGTGTGAAAAGCTGCAATGTGCACTGCTATAGTTTGACTTCCCTTATTTGAACAGAGAGTGGAATGCTACTGTGTTAATCTGCTAATTTCTCCTCTTCCCAGTGGTCCTCATCAACCATTCTAAGAGTGGTCAACCACTATGACATATTTGTGTGTGCACAGGAGTTGTCCTGCTTAGCTATCAGAACAGGCTATGAACACGGCTCACATATCTTTCTGCTTTTTAAGCCTTCAGGAAACATGAAAAATAGAATACTTGAATGAAAGCGTTCTAAGTAGTCACACAGAAATACAGAACTAGGGTTCGTACCTTCCGCTCTTGAATAGGAAAGTCATCACCAGGGCATGTGGGGCACGAATTTTGGCTCCATAACTGCAAAATCAAATAAATATTTCAGAGTTTTTGTACTATACTATCAAAAGATTATATTTCTATTCTACTGACAGCCAAAAGATGCTACTTAAGCAACCACATCTTACTTTTAGGTCACCCCAGTAGCAGCAGCACACCAAACCAGAAGGAGCTCGGGCCACAGACTTAAGAGAACATGTACTCCAATAAGCCAGTACCAAAAGGGACCCCAAAAGCAGCTGAAACCTCGCCCACCGGCGAGGGAGACGGAAACGCCTCTCCCGAACCTCTAGCACAAGAGCGCTTTACAGGCAAGGAGGGCCCACGGCGGCCTTCCCGCGGGCCTCGGGACGACCGGGCCTCAGGGAACCGACATACACTGTCCCCGCGCCCCTTCCTCCCCTCAGCCGCTGCCGCGCACTCACACAGCCCCGTTACGGAAGCCCTTGAGGACGGCGAGTGCGGCATGGTAGCGGCGCTGCTGCAGGAAGGCGTTGACGGCGCGGAGCAGGGCGCGGAGCGGAACGCGCGGCGCATCCTCCCCGCCGGCCATGGCAGCAGCTCCCGCCGGCACCGG